AAGCCACCTGTACGGATAGAGAGTTTAAATATTGTTGCTGCCTTGCACTATACAATACATATTTCATATGACTGAGCTGAAGAGTAAATTACATTAGCTCAGATTTTGTTAGAATATAGCATCCCATGCCATGCACCATTCATTAGAATTATTCCTAAACCCTGAGCACAAACATTTTGCCTGTAGGCTTCTGAAAACATGAGCTGATAATAAACATGATACAGTAGGGACAGCAGTGCATCTGAATCTGGACAAACAACGGAAGAAACAGCTTCTTCAACAATGAGGTTTGATGATTGAGAAATGAGCAAGCGAAATTATATGGAAGGCAATGGAATGAACTAGATATCAGGTACAGAATGATAAGAGGAAAAAAGAAACAGAATGAAAAGAAAATAAAATAATATTTTACATTTTAAATTTTAAAATCTCTTAAGGAAAATTTACTACCTTTGGGAGTGGGACTCCAAATTTTCCAGTGTTCCCTCTCTGAGCTACAGCAGTTGATTTGTAATGAAGAAACAGAAATCTTATCATTAGAAACATAGCTACAGTCAAGTACTAATCCTAACTTTCTACAACAAGATTAATGACTAGTTTACATACAAATGCAGGAATTTCTTGAACTCACAGAGATGATGAAGGTGAACGCAATCATACAACAACATGTGAAGATTCACACTTAATAAAGTGTCTTTACCTTACCACAGATTGCTGGGTGATTTACACACTAGCAAAAACATCAAACTCAATGTTATTTTGGAAGCAGAATTTGGTCTGATGTACTGGTCTTACACAAGTTTGTAACATTGTGGAAAGTGCTGACATCACAATACTGCACGCAGCAATTGAATTGCCACATGCTGGGTTCCAGAAAGCCACTGATAGTTGGGAAAACCAAGTAAAACCAATCTCAAAAATTTGATAAATTTATTTTGCACCTGCCGCTGGCTGTTTGACGTTTGCTTGTTCGGAACTAACACATAAAAATGAATGAAGAAGAGGAATAGTGAATGCCTTCCATAACCAGTGGCAAGAAAGATGCAATGAAAGATTACAGATAAATTGTTTGAAAGTGGCTCGCCTAAGGGCATGACAGTTTTGATGACTGCAAAACATTATAGCGTTTGCAGCCAGTTATGCTTAAACAATGGGCAATAGATTTCATTCACTTTACGTTGAAGCTATAAGAAAGATATTTACCTTACAGCAGTTATTTAGTTTGAAAGAATTGGATTCTTAAGAAAATGATAACTGAAAGCAGAAATTGTGTATGACAGAGTTTATATTCTGACATAAAGCTTTCTGTGTGAAATTTACATTTTGACATCTGTATGAAATGTATAGCATGTTTCTAGTTCATTAAGCAGATAATATAAAATTGATGAGACTCTTGCCTGGAACAGTTAATTTATGACCTCCTTGAGGTCTCCATAATTCAGGACCAATGCATATTTATAACATGTTGGGTTGATACTATTTCAAAATGCACTTGTATTTGCTTAATCAGAGAATGTGAATATCATTTTAATATTGAAATGGTACTTCTGTTTAAATAAAAATATTTTAGTTAAGCAATATAAAATATTGACTAATTTTGAACCTCTTCAAACATTAACAGTGATTTTCTAGCTTATAGGGTGAGGTGAAAATTTTCAACTTTGCTGTTCCAGACGATCAATCAATGGAATGAAATTTAGACAGGATCTAAAGAGTGGTTGATATACTGACAGACCCAGGTGGAAAGTTGAAAATTACCCCTCTATCTCTATGTAGAGGTGCTGGAAATGCTTTTAGGTTTTGGTATTTTATAAGGATATTAACATGTACATGCTTTCAAGATAATCTTTGGCTGGAACACTGCTGTACTAAAATGGTTTCTGAAAATCAGAACATAAATCTTGATCACTTTCCAGTTACATCCTTCTGCAACAGTTCATTTTATTCAGCTTATCTCAGCTAAACAAATTAAATTGGGAAAATTGATAACACATGCTTAAAAGCTGTTTTTATTAGGTTTGCTTTATCGCTTATAGTATTGATGTCATCGAAATTTACAGTCACAAGCCCAAAGCTACACTTTTATAGATTTGATTGTATTTAAGATATTAGAATGACTGGTGGCTTCAGCAAAGCCAAATGGTAACCAAAAATCAAACGGTGAAGTTTCCGTGATCGAAATAGCTGGCAACTAAGTTGGAATTCATTTGAATTAATATGAAAATCTGCATCTTTCTATAAATTCACTGCAGTCTGCAGATGATAGCTTCTTAATATAAATTGTCTTTATATTATCTTAAAATGAAACCATTTTTAACGCTTAGGAATATTGAGTCCCTATACTATGAAACTATTTTTTAATTTAAATATTATGTGCTAGACCCATTGTGGATCCCGTGCACTTTAAGATAACAAGTAACAAAAGATTGATTATTTATTTTAATATGTAGAATTAAGACTGGAGGAAAAGACCAGTTTTGTTTTAAATATTGTGAAAATATTGACTTTTTAAGAGGATCAAACTGTACAAGATATGAAAAGAACATGCAGAGCAACAGTAGCATCTGTTACATTTTGCCAAGTTGACAATTTCACATTTTTTTTTTATTCTGACTTAACCAGTCAACACAAGAGCTCCTTGATAGCATCTTTCATATCTCCCTTGAACAGACTGGAAATTGAAGAGCTGCTGGCAGTTTGGTGGAACAAGAGAGAATACATTGCTTTCTGACTTTATACTGGCCTTGCACATGGCAGGCAAATCAACTTTACAGAAAGACATCCAATATAAGTAGTGTAGACTATGGCCAAGATTTTGAGGTCAATGATGGGCAAAGCCTCAGTACACTTACAGCTGCCAAGACCTTTAGTTGGCTTTTGTAAAATTGAAGCATCCTTACTGAAGCATGCTCTTAATTTCAGCACAATCTGAAGGAATTAAACTCCTCATTTCTTGTTCAGTGCCAACGATGATGTTGCCCATAATTGAGGTTCATTTTACTATTAACGATTCACTTGAACTTGAATTGGCAAGCCGTTTTCTTCTGGCATATTTATTAAGTACATACATGCAGCTTCCGCCTATAAATGTTTGAGTACCAAGTCTTATGGCAATGTTTCAGCTAATGATGCTTGTGGAAGAGCAGGCCAATCTCACAACATATCCCTGATTTGATTGCACAGCTACTGATAGAGGAAATTGCTTAATAACAGTAATTGTCAATCACCTCATCATTATTTCCCCCAGAAAATCTGGCTTGTGTGGCAACAAAACTCCCATTTATTTCAAATGGGTACATCAATTGCATATTTTGAGGTCCACTGAAATATAGAGTTACATTGACCTTGGGTATCTAGTGGACAGCAGGTCCTGTCTTCAAAATTGGCTGACTATATTCCCATTTTTCAGCAGGAATGGGTGATAAGGAGATGAAAATTATCTTCACTATTTTATTGTAAATCTGCAAACATACTGTTAATAATAAGCCCTGTTCAAGTAGTTCCTTGCACATGTAAATAAAGTGAAAAGTCTGTACATTGTCTCTGCTTGTCTATCTTTTCTCCTGTCCTCTTTTCTGAGGGTTGGGCCATGGACTTCCGTTGGATTGGTCCACGTTCTGCAGTGGTTTGCCATTTCATTCTGCAGGATAGCTAACCAGGAAACTCTCTCACACTTATCACTTGCCCTCAGATTAATTGGAAGGATTTCCAGACTGACAATCAGCCTATAAGGCCACATTCGGAACATACCTTTCACATGCAAAAGCCCTGGCACAGGACTTGAACCTGGACCTTCTAGCCCAGAAGCAAGGACACTACCATTGAAACACAAAAGCTCCTATATCACCTCTACCCTTGTTAAATATTCTGTCTTTATTAATCCAACACTATGGAAAGGCTCAATTCTGTGATAATTTGTTTTGCATTGATTTGTTTTAAGCGCAATTTATAATCCTTAAAATTCTCTTATTATCAAAGACAAGGTAGCACAGTAAAATAAAAGCAAAGTATTGCAGACACTGAAATAAGAACAGAAATTGCTAGAGATACTCAGAAGGTCTGGCAGCATCTGTGGAGAAACAAAGTTAATGGTTCAAGTCCAATGTGACTCAAATTAGACTGAAAGTGTTAACTGTTACTGTCTCCAACACTTTCTGTTTATATAAGAAAGTTCATTTTGATCATAATATTTATAGCAGTATGATCATGGTTTTCAAACCCCAATCTGTTGCTGGCTGATTAATCTATACTTTCACATAGCCACATTTTGTTTGTGTTTTTGCAGTTCAAATCACTTTGCTCTGCCTTTTAAGACATAGTTATTATTTATATTTCGTAAGAATGGTTGCTGCAGTGGTTTTAAAGTTTATTTGCAAAAAATGCCAACAGATATGAGGGAGAAACAATTGCACAACTGCAAATATTTTAGATTGGAAAAGCTGAACTAAAAGGAAAATGGTCCGTTTTGAAAAGGTTTGTTACCTCCTTTATCTCTCTGAAATTTGTTTACATTCCATCAAAATTGGTAGTCTAAAAGTATATTTTAAAATATGTTTGCTACTTGGAATGCTGTTTCTGAGACTCAAGTTCAAATGAAATCCAAGTAGATGAGATGTAAATTGTTTCTTTCCTTCTAATAATTGTTTTGAGTGTTATGTAATTAAACAACAATGGCTTCCACCATTTCCCAGTGGATATGCCAACTTAATATGTCATAAAAATGACAATAAGTTGGCATTCATTTAGCAAGGCAGCTCATTTAACTATAAGACAATAACAGTAGACATTAAAAATATCTCCTTAAAGTATAATTTGCAGAGCAAAGCAGGGTAAGTCTTAGATTTCTTCTTATCTGTGTTATGCATGATCTGTTTGGATGCAAAATGGAGGAAAATATCACGTTCTAACATTTTTCATCTTTCACCTCAGTAATGCAGATACATGCAGATTTTAAAACGTGGTGACGGAGTGTCATACTGATGCTTGTGTTTTATTTACAG